TCCATAACATGACCACTAGTGTATGTAGATAATCTCTAATTTTCTAATCTTTCACAGTTCTAACAACTACTATCTGCAATTCTCTAATTTCTACATGTGCAATTGTCAGCACGCCTGAATTCCAACCCTTGTTTTTCAGGATGTGAAATTCTTGATTTGGTATACTGATCAAGAGGAAAGACTGAAAGACAGCTGCGAATAAGCTGAGTTACGAATGTTGTACATGGCCAAACCACTGTAAGTTAACGAAATCGTTTTATTATGTGATGCTATGTTTATGTATTTTATATCCAAATGCTACTTTTTTTTACAGAAACAACTTAAACCAGAGAGGGAAAGTCAGCGCCTTTCACTTGTCTATGCAAATAGCAGACTGAGACTTAGTTTTTGGGTTTGAGAGCTGTAATATCCGGTAGATATTGTAGTGGATTTTTGAGTAATTGCTCTTTCTGCTAGACTGCTTCTTCTTAATGCCTTCATCATGGTTGCCGAAGGTAAAGAAAGTTTTAAATACGAGGGATATGTATTGGCGATATTGCTTTTCTTTACGAAGAGCCTCGAACCCTTATCTCAAAGATAGTGGTACTTTAGGAGCCGACTAATTGGTCTAAAGGTAAAATCTTTTCTAACAGCAGTCGTTTACAAGAAGCAACTCAGATTGTCTAATGCTACTAAGCTGATTCATTCAAGTGGTGAAATAATGAACTATGTCACTGTGGATGCTTATCGGATTGGAGAGTTTCCGTTTTGGTTCCATCAGACATGGACAACAAGCGTCCAGCTTTGCCTTGCGCTCTTCATTCTATTCCGTGTTGCGGTCTATTAGTCTGTTTTTGTGTCATTGTTTCCGTGCAATTTGTAGTTCGGATAGTTTATTGTAGTTTCGAGCTTTATAGATGATGCAACATGAACTCCTTAATCCTTACTTCTTTTTAGATATGTTGTGTTGTATCACATTCTAATGTATTGATTCAAAAATTTGTAATGAAATTATCAATTTTTATGCAATTCCAAAATTTGTTCATAAGGTGCATTTTCAATTTTGCCAATCAATTTGCATAAATTGTTGTTGTTGTTATAATAAATATACATTAAAAAAAAA